TCCACCAACACTTATCCCCACCTCCACTCAACAAATTGTTTGAAACAGTTTTTCATTGTTACTGAGGATTTATCGATGCAACGTTTCCATTATTGTTCCAAATTGAAATAGATAATTGTAGTAGAGCTCTAAGTACTCCTTATCTCAGTCATTCAAAAGATACATTTTAATTATTTGAACAGTTTGCAGAACAGTTTTCTTACCTTGAGATGCAGAGCAGATTTTTTAAATATTTCTCTCTTTGTCCTCTGCTTCTTGCAAACCTCTTCATCGCTACAAAAAATCTCTAAATCCTGCCACAACAAAGCCACTTCAAAAAAGGAAAGTGCTCAGTTTAATTTGAACCTGTTAAGAGAGAAAAATGTTGAAACTTCTTAACATGCCACAGTACAAATGATATTTGACCCCGAGTGTGTCCTGGGGGTTGTTATTTTGGATGTGCAGGTAATTGCGATTGAAGCCTTAAGAAGTGCAGGAAAAAAGGTTTTATATTTAATTTAGACGAACTAAAAAATCTGTGTGAGAACATAGCAACAATGTGCAAGTTCACTTAAAGGAGATTAAACTTTTGTTCAATTATAAATCTGGCTAAATTGAGCTACGAAATGGTCCACTGTTTCAAAAGTTCAAAGTTCCCACTGCTCATACTTACTGCTAGTGTGTTTTTGGTAACAATTGCATTTTTGATAATCTTCTCTGACCATTACCAATTCATCAACAGATTTATTATTTTTGTATTATTTTTTACCATTGTATTTTTTCGCGGCAAATTTAGACTGTTGAATGTAAATGAAAAACATCATAAAATTGATAATCAGTGACCAAAATTCACAAAAATCGATTCAAGATGTAAAAAATTAGATAGATGAATTCAGGTCCATTTAAAATTCAATTTCTGATGGAACAAATAATCAGGCTTTTTTGTGTTAATGAATTTCACATTACATTGAAATGTAGGCTTGAAAATAAACATATTGAATATTTTGAAGGTGAATATATCATTTTGAAATCTTAATCACATTGAAATTTGTAAACTGAATTTTAAGAGACTGAAATGCAAACACAAAAATATTCAAACATGCTTTTTCAGGGTTAAAAATTTCAAATGGAAAAATTTAAGCTAATTTATAATTCAAAATTTGATGACACAAAAAATCTTCCATACACTTTGCCTTCTTCATTTGAACCTTTTTGTGTTCTCCTCGGTTATTGACGTAAGAATTCAGCCATCCACGCAATAAGTGTGTCTGATAATGGCCTGATAGAATAGAAGTCGTTCGGACAGAAGAGAGAATGAGGCAGGGGTTTTGTTTAACAAGCTTATCTCTCCTCCTTATTTAGTTTGGACCATCAAAGTGCTGAGATGGGCCACTGCCACGAGCAGTCGTATTTTTTGACCGCTACCTGTGACAGCAATTACAGGCTCCCCTTCAAGGCACGCCTTTGTTTTGGTGATAGACCTGACTGCTCGCTCGAATGCGATTACCCCAGTGTTGTGCAACCGGAGCATAATCAAAGGTGTACAATGCAAGGTGTCATTGGCTTTAAATCAGCCTCAGCCGCCCTGCCACTGCTCCACCAGGCCCCTTTATCCGGGAGACGGCTGTGACATTACTGCAGCAGGAGTATGCTTCTTATAGCTTCAGTATTGTACAGTATATGCCACATTTCCACATGGGATGAGAGCAGAGGGCACAGATATAGAACAAGCAAGTTCAACTGACATCAGGTCTAACATAACTCTTTAAAAACTAAAGATTGCATTTGACTTAAAGTGATTATCTGGAGTTTTGTCAGAAAAAGAGGTACATGATTTGAAACAAACGACCCAAACTCCCTCCCCCTTCCTTTCTGATTGGTCTACGCCTACGTTTCCGTAACAATCAACACATTTAAATGTTAATCGGAGAATACATTATACATATATCTTTTATTAATACACATGCACGGAAGTTTTCTGAATTATTTGTTAACGTTTTCATGACAAAAATAATGTTTTAATGCACAAAAAAAGAGATCGCGATAAACCCGGAAGTAGCTATCAACGTTGATTGAACATTTTAGGACACATCTGCAGAGGATCTGATTATGGATATAGGTTCAGTATATACATAGGTAACTCAGCGCAGATGTTCAGAATTCTTTGTTCAGTTTTCATATAGTTTCAGAGGCTAATCGAGGCTTGATTCGGAGGCTCCGCGAAAACAAACAACTGAGCATGAGCAGCTACGAGCATGAGCGCTGATGATTGACAGCCCTTGTCATCACTTGATTGGTTAAACTGGAGGGCATCGTGGATTTTGCGCTATAGCTAAGAGAAGGGAAAGCGGGACTTACCCGTAATATTAGAATTAATAAAATGACTTAATTTATATCAACATTTAAGGCCAGGAGGTCAATTTAATACAATTCTTAAAATGTGTAATTAATTTAACGTTCCAGACAATCACTTTATAGATATGTTGTGATTTTTCCTGCTGTATAGTGATATTCTTTGACACCCACAGATTATTATATATTGAACATTGGCAATCTTAGTAAAGATCTAAAATAAGATTGTCAAAGAATCAGGTTCAAACATTCAAACTGGTCTCATTAAACCGAGCCTGCTCCTTTACATAATGTGAAAACACCTGCGTAATGCTGCTGAATCCTCTGTGGATCATAAAGTAAAGAATAGTGGCCGTGTGAAATAAAGACAATAGCCGCTTCCTGATCTCGACGGCCACGTTAATCCAGCGCCTGAACTTCCAATAACTTTGCCCTGTTCCAATCCGTGGTTATTTCTCTTGCAGTGCTGATATGACCAATTTCCCTGTTCTGCTGCTTTACTTTAGGTTCTTGTCGAAACCTCTCAACTACTGGCAGTAAAAAGTCAAAAGCAGACAAAAACAACATTCTTGTACTGTTTTTTGACTGGAGTATTACGCAATTTTTCAATACAACATTATATAAAGTTAAAATTAACATTAGTCACGCTGTTATGATCCTTAAAGAAAATCTTGACATATGGATTGGTCTTGATGTAAGTGTTTCCAAGGCGGTTTCATCAAGCTTTAAACTGAACTAATTTAGTGTTCGTCAAGTATGTGTGATGTTGCCTCTGGAGAACAGCAGGGTTTTGATCCGTGCTTCATCGGGGTGCGCAGCAGGGGTCCGTAACGTGGTTAGAAGTGTTGCGATCACAGGAAGTCAGTCACCCAGCCTTACATAAGTTCACACACTTCAGAGCATCGCCGCTTTTACGGAGCATTTGTTTTGTCAAAGTCACGTGAAGCTATATTTGTTGGCCTATGACCGGACCAATTAACATGATGTATGCTGCCTCCGTCCTGGGCGCGTGTATTTGGCAAGGGACATTCATCTGTACCTCTTGCTCTCTCTGCGATTCTAAATTTTGCCATTACGTTCAACCTTTTGACGGCAAAATGTGATTGTGTGCAGATTTTTACATAGTGACCTGATTGTAGTTGTTTTCTAATGATCAAAGTAAGCCGGTAGCTGGGATAGAAAGTGAGTTTGAGATTATTTCAGGACAACTTTTTCTATAGGGTTTGGAAAAAAGGTGGTATGGTTGTCGAGTGATGTCTTTAGCATGTGATCTTGAACTTGCCTGATTTTTCGAGTGCAGAAGCCAGCCCTTTGCCCTTCTGCACCCGAGCCATAGTGTTGTTTGCAAGGTATCCGTGCAAAATCACTATGGTACATATGTGTATTTCGATGAGTGGCACAAATAAACAAAAGCGCATGAAATCCACAATGGCTACTTGAGAAGAATGCGATGGGAAAATTCATTCAAAGTTTGAGCCAAAATCACATACATCTTTCTCTGATCATTTATACCACTTATCTTTGTAGAAATAGTCATGCTGCCATGTCTTTATTGCTACCACATTGAGCCGACGCACACTAATCGTAGGAGCTAGAGTAAGCAACTATAAAGCGGTCTGTTCTTGAAAATCTGTTGTACAATTTGTATGACACCCACGTTAAAGGCAGAAACGATGAAGACAGTCATTGTTCTCATCCTTTTGAAGTCATTCTTGACCAGAGTAACACATATCGTTAGCCTCATACTGTAGCTCCCATCCTCCGCTCAAAGCTGCTCTGTTGTGGCTTCACCGTGAACCATGTATCCAGATTTAAATGCCATAATTTAAAGCTGTGCTGGCCTCTCTTCTCGCAGATAAAACAGTACGGTCTATGAATATTTGTATGTGGTCTGCTGCGCAAAACACCACCTATCAACATAAACATTCAACATGTCTGTAGAAAGAGCATTTATTTCTAAACTGTAGGCTCATAGAAGCAGTCATGAGAGTGCTGACGCAGAACGCACCGGCAGATGAAGATCCTCTCTATCATGAAGTCTCTGTGCATGAATAAGCAGCATTTATACCACACGGCTTGATTAGCAATCAGAGCAGGTACCGCCTTCCTCTTCATTGCTCTTTAGGCCTTTTGATATGTATGCATTATTCATTTGAAGTCTTGTAATTACCATAGCCTATAAAAATAGCATGTTGTTTTGACCTGTGTGACATAGTTTAGTAGGACTTTCTATCTTTGATGCTTCACAAAATGGGAAATGGTTCGTGTGTGTGTGTGTTTAAGAGGCCGGACTTAACCCAGTTGTGTTTGTTCTAAATAATGAGGCTTAATTGAAGTGGAAAAACCCTATAAAACTAACAGTTTGCATGTGTTTATGGCCAACCACCCCTGCACTGTAAATTGTTCGCAACAAATGAGAAGCTATTAAAAATTAACCCAAATGGAGCGATGTAGGTCTCTAAAGCTGCTGCACAGAGCACTTTCTGTTTTGCTGAGATTAACTTATGGACTTTTCCCCTTGTTGTTCAATATTCAGTGAATAATTGAAACAGACTTCTTTCACCCACTGTCTTTGGACTATAAATCCACTGATGACATTAAACGAGAAACTGCTGACTATTTCAAACACTTAGAATATGACATTTCTTTTTCTCCCTCTTTTCTCTCAGGTGGATCTGCTGGTGCCGACTAAAGTGACTGGGGTGATCACCCAAGGAGCCAAAGACTTCGGTCACGTGCAGTTTGTGGGCTCATACAAAGTGGCTTTCAGCAACGACGGGGAGAGGTGGAGAGTGTATCAAGACGAGAAGCAGGGCAAAGACAAGGTGAGATCATAATTAGTGTTTGTTCATTTTTTTCCTGAACCATACGCAAACTAAAACATGAATATTTTTGTATGACTTGCACAGAGCTGTAACTAATCACTGCAGTACACAATGAAAATGCAGGTGAAACTGGGAGAATTGGAATATTGTTGATATTACTAGGTCCAAAATAAAAAGTAGAAAACAAAGAAGCTCCCACAGTTCCGACTGGATGTTATGATACAGCCAAATAGGAGAGTTTTGGCTCTTTCATAACAGACTTTATGTGGTGGATAGATCTCAGGTAACAGATGCTGATTTGTTTTTGATTTTATTTTATTCGAGTTTTTTTGGGCTAAAATAAACTAAACGAAACAGACAGTGCTTTGTACTTTGCACTGTCTGGTATTGGACTATTACAGCATGAGTGCTGGCACAGCAGTAGACTAATCATTTGACTTATTTACTTATAAAATAAAAAGGTCTTTTATGTGTCCATCTACCATAGTCAGAAATTGTTTCAATGTTCAATTTTTTCATACAAAATTAGAAATAATCAAAGCTTCTTATTAATCTTTGTACATAAGGTTTTTACTTTGACTGACAGATGTAAATATTCTAAAAGTGCATGACCACAGGAGTGTGAGCACTTGAAGTTTAAATTATATATTACACATCAAAGTCAAGTGGAGCAGAGCCGCAAAGTGCACAGGAGGGACATCATTAAACACCTGCAAATATAATACAGAAATGTCAAGATTAAGTGTCCACCCTACATATGCATCAGGGTGGACTGTGACCCCCTCCGAATGCCTCTCAGAGGTTTGAGATCAGATAAAAAGGTGCTGTCTGGTATTAACAGGTCGTCCAATGTCATGCTGGAAATCTTGTTTACAACCCTTCAACAAAATGCTAAAGTCCATGGCAGTCGTCCGCACTGACAGTGCGAGTGCTGATGTGAGGCAGCAGCAGACTACAGCCCTCTTCCTTTGACTGGAGGCAGTGGAGAAATACTCTGCATTGCATGTATTACCTGCTCAGGCTTTTGTGTCATTTTGTAGTTTAAGGTGAAACTAGGATTTTAGATATGTGCAGTATTGTAATAATGTGCCTAACATTGTAATATAAATACAGTTATGTCTGGACTTTAAAACGCTGCTGTTTTCTTATTCTTTGAACCTGCGGCTTATACTGTACTGTAGCAATACAACTAATATTTGCTGGTTTTTTGATAGTCTGACTGAGAGTATCATTTTTTTAGTAGCTACTGTATACGACACTCGTTTATTGTCAAAATAGACTGAACGAGTACCAGCATCGAAGCTAACAGTTAAGCTATTAAACAGGTCCTCATTAAATCATGCTGTGATTGGTATGTAGAATGTCACTTTAGTGCCGTCACCTTATTGCACTGCTTAATGTATATTGTGTGCACCAAGTGCACATGTATATAGTAATAATTGTAATAATTTAACTTTTTCATTTTTATATAATAGAAGATTTTATTCTTTATAAATTATAATGCCTTTATTCTATTCACTACTCTTGACTTGTTTGCACCGAGCGCCAAGGCCATTTCCTTGTCTGTGACCTCCCGTTACTTACATTGTTTTATTTGATCAGAACCAAAATCAGAATCGGAATCATTTTCATTGCAGTCATTTATCTGCTGTATTAAACATGCTTAAACATCTTCATGTGCAGTACATATCTGGACAAAAAGTACTTATTATAATATTGCTTGGGCAGCTTATACACGGGTGTGCCTGATTGACTATAAAGTATGTACATTTTAGCAAATCATAGATTAAAAATATGTATATTTTATTGCATTAAAATAAATGTGCTAAGTGATTATTTTCACCCCGTCTGACTTGCCTTTTCGGTGAGAGTGCGATTGGAGCAGTACCTCTGCCTCTGAGGAGCATGTGTCCTCCATCTAACCCCTCTTATGATACATTTGCTAATGCTGCTAATAATTTGCATATGCTCATATGACAAAGGGAAACGTTATTCCATCACTTACTTCTACCTGGTTTAACTTCCTCATGGTTTTGCCCTTTGCTTTACATAGAGATGTGTGGAGACTCTGGATCTGTCCTCAGAAGGTCACAGGGCATGCCCAGTTTCTCACTGGCTGATTTCCACAGGAGAGGACGGACATCAGCGCCTTCTGCAGTGTGACTTCTTTTTTTTACCATGTATGAGAAAGTAGGACAGCCCCTTGTCTCGGTTCAGGGCATAGTCTTCCCTTCCTTGAAAGGAGAACCACTGTTTATGTGAGTGAAAACGATGTAGATCTAACTCCCGGCCAGTCTTGGGCACGATAACTTTATCTATAGCTTTGCGTGGTTTTGTTTGGACGGATGAAGAAGAAGAATTGTGTAACTGCTGAAGTTGATCCTCACCATTGTTGTTATTTTGTTTTTGGCTACCGCGCATGGGGAAGTGGTGAGGTCACGAATCTGTATTTATTCACTCTGGAGACATTTTTTCAAAGCTTGCCTTTTCCTGTGAAACACAGACGCCAAGTGAACTCTTTGTGTAAACACGACCTGAGACGTGTGACATCATGTGACCTGCTGAGGACTACAGCAGCTGCAGGCAAAACGTAAACAAACGAACTAAACACTCATCTGATGAAAGAAAAAAAGAGTAAACAAGTCAAATGAATCCCTTTGGAATAAATCTAGTCAGCCCCTTAGAAACATCTGCTCCTTACACCTACACGTGGGCCTTTACTTTTTCCATTTTCACTTGCTAATGATTCTTAAAACTTGTCAAGCCGTCAATGTTTTAAGGTCTAAATAAAAAAGTGTATTTTATTCAGATAAAGTAGTTTGTTTGTAGTTCTAAACTACCTTTGCAGAATCTGACACAAAAAAACACTTTGAAGTGCTGGATCCACTATCAAAGTGCAAAGTAATGCAAATGATTGTAGTTCATTTGAGTTTGTTTTTAATTATGATTTATTCCATTTGATGAATGAATGAATTGTTAATATTTTTCATTCCTGGTCCTAGATATAAGATATTCAATCAATGATCCAAAATGGAGCGGTGAGAAGAATGTACCTTGTTCCTCTCCGGCTGAAATAAGCCTTCACTTTCTACTCCATTAGCAGTAGTAGATGTATTTAGTTAAGGCCTCTGTGCGGGTGGTTAATGAAATTGACAACATGTCATTAAGGTGAGTAACACTATTGAATAGCCACATGAATATTACGCCTCTGTGCTCCGCAGAGAGAACCGAGCCTGGAAATGTCTTTCCATTTCAGCAGTTTCATTCCTTGCTTGAGAGGTTTATAATTTCAACACCCATGATGATCTTTGGATACAGGCCAGTGAAGGCTCAGCAGGATTTTCACTCAAGTAATATCAACAGCAGCATCCGTATGGGCCCCAAAGGCCTGGCACACATCACTGAGGATTGTGTGAGGAGGAGAGAGGGAGAAGTTACACCATGTCAAGAAAGAGATACAGCTTTAGTTATCTCCATTGAGACGTTAGACATGTTGTGAATTTGCTCTGAAACTGTAATTTCTCTGAGATGCCACTATTTGGTAAAGCTATTACATTCATGCCCGTAAGGTTTTTGGTCTCATAGTGAATGGAATGATTGTTTTTAGTTAATGCTAGACTTTCCATACATTTATAGATAGATAGATGTATCTATTGTCTATATGGAAAAATAGGATGATTTGGAATGGCACTTTATCGGTCGATATTTATCAGTATATATTAGTCTGATCATGTTTCCACTTCTTTCATGCTTTGCAGTTTCTACAAACATATTAGAGGACAGCCATGTTTAGTGTGGGCTTCAGAGAATGTCAATCAGTTTGTCCCCAGACATTCCCCCCGGCGCTGTTCTGAAGAGCCATTCTTCAAGGTGTCTTCCCCTTCAGTCAGCCACAGCGGCATTAATGCCAGAGGACACTTTGGCTGCTGGGCTCCAGAGGCTGCTGCTGCCACACCACCATGCTCCAGTCGGCAAGAATGCACTGAGAAACAGAGGAGTGCCATAGAGGTAGAGAGGGGCGGAGGAGAGCAGACTCTAGTGTCAGCTTCTAAGTATTCCTCTCAGCTCCTTTCGTGCAGCTCTGTGTGGCAGTTAGATGGAGATGGAGGGAGAAAGGCCCGGCAGAATACCGATGGTGTCAGACGCTGCTCAAAAACACTTTGCTTCCAAAATGTTTAGATTTCCATATATTATTATTGGTGTACTATATACTAGTGTACTAATTCTAGGGAATTCTAGCGTCTTGATGATCAAATTATGTTTTACATTAAACACACTTAGCATTAGACCTGCACATCTTAGTTTAGCTGGCTAAAAACTGAGCTGTACAGCCATACACTTCTGGTAGAGCTGCCTCTTACTTGCGCCTATACTTTCTTATTGATGTTAGGATGTAGGATTAGGTCATAAACACATGGTGAAAATATCAGTATTTATACTACCACATGCTGATGATCCTGCTGGGCTCAAACACAACATTTCAGACTTTTCTGGCATATGTTGTGTTTAGAGCAGGAGACTTGAGTCAGCTCCTTGTGAACTGTTTGTAATGGGCTTAAACTGCCTCCTAAAATGACCCTAGGTTACTTAGCTCCTACACTTTACACGCCAGGTGTCAATATTTACATGGGAAGTCTCTGAGAGAATTCAACCACAAAGCAATATTGATTTATGTTGTTTATTGTCACTTCTGTAACAATGGGAGGTTAATTAGACACCTTCTCCCTGTATGTCAGAGATGAGACAAAACAAGGTTTACATCCAAGAGATCTTGAATACCACCACTCCCCATTTAGAACATATTATTTAGTGGCTCAAAGAGATCAAGCCTGATTGGGTTTAAGGGCTCTCTCTCTCTCTTTGGCCAATGTCCCTCTTGACCTATTCTGTAAGTGTTTTTGTGCTTTGGTCGTGTCCCGCCTCTGCAGCTGGAGGCCACAGGGCACAGATGTGACCGGACCCTCTCCTGACCCACACACACCTTTGAATAATGGAGTGTG